AGGGGACCTTCCCTTTGAACATCCAGCCCAGCACCGGCAGTTGGGGTGCCAGGAGGAGCTGTGCTTCAGTACCAATCACTTCTGAAGCAGCTCGAACCCTATTATTTACGTTATATGGTATGGAATAGCTCTTTGGACAGTTTGGGTCAGCTGTCCTAGCTGTGCTGTACTCCCAGCTTGTTATGCACCTGGCCGAGCAGGAGAAGCTCAAAAAGTCCTTCAGTGGTCTGAGCACTACTTGGCAACAACTAAAAACATCAGTGTGTTATCAACATTCTTGTAGTGCTAAATCCAAAACACAGCACTATGCTAGCTACTATGAAGAAAATTAACTCTATCCCAGCCAAAACCAGGACATTGTATCAAGTTACTATATAATTTTATATTATCTTGCTGATTCTTTTTCCTGAAAGTTTAGTAATAATAATTTAAAAACAAAATGAAACAACCACCACCCCACAGCTTCCATCTGACTGGCATCATTCATTTGACAATGTTGACTTTTTGTTAGAACTTCATCAGCAGAGTGACAGTGAATAACTGTTATCATCTGGTGGCTCTCTGGATGGGGCATATGAGTTTGTTCTTTCAGCCTAGTTCATAGGACTGTACATTTATGGGAAGCTTTTGTGATCTTATAAAAAAGCAGTCATTTGGTGTGGTGGCATTATATAGGTAGCCTGTTTGTAAAGTCACAAGCTAGGAAAAGGTCAGTGAATTGTGAATTCCCCTCTCCTGCTCCCCAGGTTTCCCTTTTCAGACAGGGCTCAGATCCAGTGGCCTGTGGCACAGAAACCTTCATTGCCCTCTCTCCCTCTCATAACAGAGGACCTCAGCAGGAGAAGTAATGTCATTTATTAGACCAGCTCACATATCTGATGGGTCCAGAAGTCAAGCTTTAAGTTGACCCCTTTCATCAGGTATCTTATAAAATGTCTCGGGTGAGAAGGCGACTCTGAGCATGAGAACTTGATCATTTTTTCCAGCTGTATTGGTGGGTCTAAGAAAAGCAATTGTTCCTTACAAGACCTCTTTTTCTTTAGATCCTTAGGCTCACAGCAATATTGTTGCCCTAAAAAATAAAGGCATTTAGTGTGCTGTTTCCCTTTTAATATTTTCTGTCGATACATCAGTTACATGAACATTCAGTTTTCGTAATCAGTTCAAAAGTAACTTTCAGTTGTAACTGGTGTGATGTTAAGTTCTGTGTCAAGCTTTGTCTTGACAGGTGAGTAGAGAAGTGGAATAGGCCCATCTTTCATTTTCCTGCCACTAGGCTGTACTCTTTCACCAAAAGGATGCTTAAAACTTCTGAATGGCACTTCTAGAAATAAGAAGGGAACTGGATTTATTGCCTAAGTATGTAGGAAATGGATATGCTAAAAATACTTTGGATGGAAAAAAGGCTCAACGACAGAGAGGGGGTTTTTTCCTCACAGGTGCATTGCAACAACTGAATAGTGATTTTTCAAGCTTAGAGAAACACCTCCCATTCAGTGATTTATTCTGAAGGCACGGGAGAAGGCAAAGGTGTTTCAGAAGAGCTAGCTGCCTAGGTGTGAAAGCCCATAATTTGTCTGGTAACTGAAAATTACATAAGTCACAGAGGCTTGTCCAGAAAAGAGACCTGTTGAAAATCACACTCAAGATGATACTAAGAGCTCACTGGAACTCGTGTAACGTCATCCAAGAAGTTTGTTTTTCACAGTTAGCACCAGGGTATGGCCCAGTTTTGCAGGGATCAGCTCTGCTTTGTGTGTACTTGCTGGCCTGTTCAGTCAGTAGGGTGATGGTCAGAAGAGAGGACAGCACCAGAAAAGGTATCAGGCAAAGGGACCTGGAAAGGGGGAGAGTAAAGGAGGGGAAAAAAGAGCTTCAAGACATTTCAGTGTGCTGTAGAAAACAGGGGAACAGATACTTCTGATCACAGTTTTTCTCAGACATTGTATTCTGATCCGCCTCCATGCAGTGATTCACCTTCCTAGCTGATAGAA